GAATAATTCCCGAAACTTGACGAAACGCAAAGCAGCCATTTTCCCCAGATATTCCTCGACCGATCAGAGCGCGCGCTTCTCTGTAATCACAAGAGCAATTGTACTTCTGTTGAATAAACCCCTCGACCTCGTATAGGAGATTACATAACAACATTCACTTCGCCTTTGGACAATAATTGTTACATGTCTAGGACTATGTATATTTCCGTGATAATCGGTTTTCTATAACTAAGGCGGCAGCTGCTTCGATTTTATGCCTGCGGCCAGGTTACTAAGTTCTTCTCAATGGCGATGACTAATCGATGACTAATTTTCAGCAAATTTGTAGGCAATTCATTCGAACGACTTATTAGTTTATCTTTGGAATCTCAAACCGCGGTATGTAGTCATTTTTCACACACACTTTTCAGTGACGTCTTCGAAAGTTTTGCGGTTTCGCGAGTACACTGATTGATGATCTGATTGACACCGAACGCGTACGCATGCGCAATAGGAACTGCGACGTAGCTCCTCGAAGATTCGCTCTAAAACAACGAAACAAGTAAACACTTGAAACAGGTCCAAATCCAAAAATATTGACTCTTAAGTCTTAAAGTGCTGGTGTGGAAGATTTTATGGCATGCTAAAAATAATTACTGATTCTAAAATCCAATTTTTTCTTAGGACCGTGTGTCCAGTATTGAAGGAATTTCTAAAATGGGGCAATACTATATATCAATAGAGTATCAGTAGGTTTTGAGCCCGACTCAGAGTCATTTTAGCTCGAGCCGTTAGGTGAGAATTAAAACAACTGAGAACGACCCAGAACAGTTTATGCACATAAACAAAGACAGTATTACTATTATTTGGAGCCGAAAAGAAGCATTGAAAGAAGTGTCAACAAAACGGTCTGAAGGATTGCGGGAACGTGCGAACAGGCTAAAATACATTTAAGTTCGCCGAAATCTCCATTTTAGCCCGCAAAATGCACCACAATGCCCGACAGAGTGATGATAATAAATGTTTACTAAAGCTGTATTTGCATTTAGATTTAATCATCTCACAAAACGATGCAAATTCCGATACCCCTGTAACCAAGAAATCAAGTGAGTTAGTTGAGTGGACTGAAAGGTGATGAAATTCGCTAAATAGTCTTCCAGGCTCTTCTTCTGATACGGATTGTCCCTTTCCTCAGCAATAACAGACTTCTAGACAAATCGGAAATTTGCTGTCGCTAAAAATTTTCTTCGCCCGCATGCAACATCACTGTGATTAGTAAAGTGCACACAAACTAATTAACACCAGGCTGGCACCGAGGTAAAGGGTACTTTTTATCGAGCTTGGACATTTTTCCAGCCTTACGATTTAATTAGTTCATTAACAAATTATGGTTATTTTTGATCTCACAGAGATCATAGGAGATAGGCAAAGGAGAGAAATGGCAAGAAGAGGCCGTAATGCCGAAAATAACCATGGGCTTTATATGATATCAGATTTGAGAACTTTTTGGCAAAGCTGATCGAAACGCAACATCATTAATTGTAGTTATAGTTTCAATATCGGCTCCACTGACGTAACCTCAATTTGCCTTCAATATCTTTCTACTAAGTATGAAAAGGGAGATTGAGATACAATGAAATATATGAAGTTCATATATTTTGTACTGCGGTATTAGATACATATGATGCACGATCCTCGCAGTAGATAGCGCTATTTAAGCAATAGCGAAAATCAGACCTGAAAAAAATCAGGCCTGTACGGGATTCGAACCACTGACCTCTGCGATACTAGTGCAGCGCTCTACCAATTGAGCTAACAAGCCAACTGGGAGCAGGCCGTTAAGTTGATTCGTAATAAACCCGTGAAAGTGATAAATGAGATACAATGAAATATATGAAGTTCATATATTTTGTACTGCGGTATTAGATACATATGATGCACGATCCTCGCAGTAGATAGCGCTATTTAAGCAATAGCGAAAATCAGACCTGAAAAAAATCAGGCCTGTACGGGATTCGAACCACTGACCTCTGCGATACTAGTGCAGCGCTCTACCAATTGAGCTAACAAGCCAACTGGGAGCAGGCCGTTAAGTTGATTCGTAATAAACCCGTGAAAGTGATAAATGAGATACAATGAAATATATGAAGTTCATATATTTTGTACTGCGGTATTAGATACATATGATGCACGATCCTCGCAGTAGATAGCGCTATTTAAGCAATAGCGAAAATCAGACCTGAAAAAAATCAGGCCTGTACGGGATTCGAACCACTGACCTCTGCGATACTAGTGCAGCGCTCTACCAATTGAGCTAACAAGCCAACTGGGAGCAGGCCGTTAAGTTGATTCGTAATAAACCCGTGAAAGTGATAAATGAGATACAATGAAATATATGAAGTTCATATATTTTGTACTGCGGTATTAGATACATATGATGCACGATCCTCGCAGTAGATAGCGCTATTTAAGCAATAGCGAAAATCAGACCTGAAAAAAATCAGGCCTGTACGGGATTCGAACCACTGACCTCTGCGATACTAGTGCAGCGCTCTACCAATTGAGCTAACAAGCCAACTGGGAGCAGGCCGTTAAGTTGATTCGTAATAAACCCGTGAAAGTGATAAATGAGATACAATGAAATATATGAAGTTCATATATTTTGTACTGCGGTATTAGATACATATGATGCACGATCCTCGCAGTAGATAGCGCTATTTAAGCAATAGCGAAAATCAGACCTGAAAAAAATCAGGCCTGTACGGGATTCGAACCACTGACCTCTGCGATACTAGTGCAGCGCTCTACCAATTGAGCTAACAAGCCAACTGGGAGCAGGCCGTTAAGTTGATTCGTAATAAACCCGTGAAAGTGATAAATGAGATACAATGAAATATATGAAGTTCATATATTTTGTACTGCGGTATTAGATACATATGATGCACGATCCTCGCAGTAGATAGCGCTATTTAAGCAATAGCGAAAATCAGACCTGAAAAAAATCAGGCCTGTACGGGATTCGAACCACTGACCTCTGCGATACTAGTGCAGCGCTCTACCAATTGAGCTAACAAGCCAACTGGGAGCAGGCCGTTAAGTTGATTCGTAATAAACCCGTGAAAGTGATAAATGAGATACAATGAAATATATGAAGTTCATATATTTTGTACTGCGGTATTAGATACATATGATGCACGATCCTCGCAGTAGATAGCGCTATTTAAGCAATAGCGAAAATCAGACCTGAAAAAAATCAGGCCTGTACGGGATTCGAACCACTGACCTCTGCGATACTAGTGCAGCGCTCTACCAATTGAGCTAACAAGCCAACTGGGAGCAGGCCGTTAAGTTGATTCGTAATAAACCCGTGAAAGTGATAAATGAGATACAATGAAATATATGAAGTTCATATATTTTGTACTGCGGTATTAGATACATATGATGCACGATCCTCGCAGTAGATAGCGCTATTTAAGCAATAGCGAAAATCAGACCTGAAAAAAATCAGGCCTGTACGGGATTCGAACCACTGACCTCTGCGATACTAGTGCAGCGCTCTACCAATTGAGCTAACAAGCCAACTGGGAGCAGGCCGTTAAGTTGATTCGTAATAAACCCGTGAAAGTGATAAATGAGATACAATGAAATATATGAAGTTCATATATTTTGTACTGCGGTATTAGATACATATGATGCACGATCCTCGCAGTAGATAGCGCTATTTAAGCAATAGCGAAAATCAGACCTGAAAAAAATCAGGCCTGTACGGGATTCGAACCACTGACCTCTGCGATACTAGTGCAGCGCTCTACCAATTGAGCTAACAAGCCAACTGGGAGCAGGCCGTTAAGTTGATTCGTAATAAACCCGTGAAAGTGATAAATGAGATACAATGAAATATATGAAGTTCATATATTTTGTACTGCGGTATTAGATACATATGATGCACGATCCTCGCAGTAGATAGCGCTATTTAAGCAATAGCGAAAATCAGACCTGAAAAAAATCAGGCCTGTACGGGATTCGAACCACTGACCTCTGCGATACTAGTGCAGCGCTCTACCAATTGAGCTAACAAGCCAACTGGGAGCAGGCCGTTAAGTTGATTCGTAATAAACCCGTGAAAGTGATAAATGAGATACAATGAAATATATGAAGTTCATATATTTTGTACTGCGGTATTAGATACATATGATGCACGATCCTCGCAGTAGATAGCGCTATTTAAGCAATAGCGAAAATCAGACCTGAAAAAGATCAGGCCTGTACGGGATTCGAACCACTGACCTCTGCGATACGCTCACTTGGTAGAGCGCTGCACTGGTATCGCAGAGGTCAGTGGTTCGAATCCCGTACAGGCCTGATCTTTTTCAGGTCTGATTTTCGCTATTGCTTAAATAGCGCTATCTACTGCGAGGATCGTGCATCATATGTAAAYGGGAGATTATTGATAAAAAAAAGGTAAAAGCAAGAGATTAGAAACAGTTTGTAATCTCTTGGTAAAAGTCATTCATTATAAAACTCGAGACGTCACATCGGTCGTATTGGTATGGAAGGGGGAGTCGGGGATGGGAAAGAGAGAACCTCACGCGTCCCATACCCCTCCAGTTTGTCCCCTCCCCCCCCAAATAAAATAATAATAATAAAAAAAAATTCCAGTCATTTCGCTGGCGTAAAGAAGTCTTCTTTGTAAGATGAACGCTGTTTCTAGTAGACACTTCCGTTTGTTCCAAATCCAAGAGGAACAATGCTCGCTGGTCCCATAGCTGAAATCTTCTGGGAGTGCCTTCACTCAGACACTCCCCAATTTATTTTTAAAGGATAGATTTGCAAACACAACTTAAGAACCGTGAGATTTGAACATATCACTGTGAAACTGCGAAAACAAACCGTGTAGACTGGTGGATTTTGCGGCCGATTCGTGAAGTTTTACATGTTACACCTGTGGCTTTTACATCCGGGCAATAATTTCTTAAAAATTCATGATCATGCGCAATGTTCTTAGGGAGAGCACCAGAAAGAACGCGGTAGTGAGGCCAGCTCTTTCGGCGTCTGATCATCGTGTTCAATTCCGTTCATGAGCAGCTCAAGCAAATTATTCTAAAGTTACCTAAAGATGATTAAGTTTGGCAGTAGGAGTAACCTAGAGGGAGAGTTCCAGTGTAAAGTCAGCCTTCTAGACGATACGGAGTTGACATGCGATTTCAAGGTAACATTCATGTTTTGAGTAAGTAATAATAGACGAGCTACTTCGAAGTGATCTTTGCTGCGTCCTTCCACAATTATGGTGGCCAGAATTGCATAACTAACCCGTAATCTAACCCCGTTTTCTCTCTGCAGATCCTATAATTTCGTTTTAGTCGGGAAAGCGCTTATTGATTTCGTTTGCAGAGATTATTAAGCCTAAAACCTCAGACACACGGTATTATCCAAGAACCGGAATGATAACAAACAACTACGCATACGTTTCGTGGAATAAATTTGCAACATGGATTGGATTTTAAACTATTGGCTCGAAAATCGTTTTCTCTTCTTATGTGAAGAGATAAATTCAAATTTTCTGTGTCTTCAAGCTTATTTTGTGTCGATCGTCCGTGGAATCCCGCCGAATTCTCTTCAATTTCACTCTAAACTTCGAAAAGTTTTGCGTGCAAGATCAAGAAACGTCGAACTGCCATCTATCTTTTATTGTGTAAATTTGTTATAACCAGCATATGTTTTGTAAATTGAAGGGATTTACATCTTTTCTTGCTCTCCCGATATTTGTAGAAATATGGATTCATTTTTTGAAAAGTACTTCCCTATCGCGGTCGCTTTGTAAAATGCGATTCATTCAAACACGCTCAGGAGCGGTGAATAACCATTTTTGTTCTAGGATAAAAGTAATTAGCATTTTCATCACAAATGCGTTTCAGACCGTCAGTTGTTAAATAGAAGCTTAGAATCACACATTCGAAGAGATGGAAGTATTGGCAGTGACTGAAATTTCACGATCTACAGCGGCGAAATGAACACATGCTCAAGTTACACGTGATCGTGTTATACTCGTTCAAGCGTGACATAGCGAGCTTGAAGATTTTTGTTCGTGGAGTTACTCTATTCGATCCGACCTTATTTTATTGAGGCGGCATGGAAGTAGTTCTTACCTAGTTAGTTAAAAATTGAGTGTCAAAGGAAATGTGCTAATGTTAAGTGTCGGATTGTTTGCGTACAATGTTTAAGTATTGATCTTTGTATTCTGCAGTGTGCACGTGAAACCAGAATGCTCGATCTAAAGAATTTCTATTCCGGAGAACCTAAGTTTGAAAAAATTTCTGATTTGTTGACAAAAGTTCGTGGCCAAGATTAATATAGAAACGATCTTTGTCTCGAAGAATTGCACTAAATTACAGTGTATCTCTTTTCATTTACCACGCCGGCAGAAATATGCATATATCCTGTCTGCTTCGTCAATTTTTGCGGCTCGAAACCTCTTTGAAACTTGCCAACAGATCGTAATTTCCAGCTTGTTTTTGCGAGCAGTGACATGTTGTTAGTTGCTCGAGCAAGTTGATGTGGCAGTTTTGTGAAGCAGTGGAGGGTTGTATCCTGTTTTGTCTTGCAATGTTGTATTTTTGGGCTGGGCATTGATGTTCATAGTCCAAAAATATGGATTAATTAACACCTCTCTTTTGTTTGCCTGTGAATACAGAGAGATGTGAAGGGTCAGGCAGTCTTTGATGAAGTCTGCAAAACCCTTGATTTGTTGGAGAAAGATTATTTTGGTCTTCGCTTTGTTGATGATGCTAAACAACGGGTTGGTATTTTTTGTATAAATTACTTTGGAATAAATAAAGTAATGTATAGTAGTTGTTGGTTTTAAGAACTTTAAATTGTTTGTAATTAATGTTTCTGCATGGTGTCTTTTTCAGCTCCTAATATTTAAGTTTTTCTTTGTATGTAATTGTTTTGTTTTGTTTTTCCCTTCCCCCCCTGAGTTTAAATGTCAAGTTAGAATCTTACAGGGTTACTAATTGTAAAGGTCTTGATGTCTGTTTAGCTAAATTCAACGCCCTTTCTTCCTTTAATTTTGGCAATCATTCAAGAGATAAGCCTGTCTGCTGATTGATTTTTAATGACACGTGCTTGTGCTCAATTGAATGACTGTCACACAATAACCCAATAGGCCTCACAAATCATGCTTTAAATTGTTATTATTGCAATAGGATTAGCTTTTGATAATTAAGTTTTGAATGCAATCCATGATAACTTCATCAGAATTTCTGTGTTCTTCAAACTTTTCAAAAATTCCTTTTGAAATACTTTGGAAAGTGTAGTGTGATAATCCTGTGGTGGCAACTGATGTTTCAACAACCTGTGCAGAAGTCATCATCAGAGTCAAGGAAATACTTAGGTTTTCTTGTTATGGGCCTAACAAAATTAAATATGTTGCATTAGATTGGAAAGAAACAAATGCATGAACTCTTTAACCTCTAAGGGTGATTGGCTTTCTACTCGTAGTTTCTCTTAACAGTATCACACACCCTTGAATTGTATGTACAGGTCATGAGAATGATGGAAATGATCGCCAATTTATTAAATCACTACTTTATGTTTATAGCATTGGCTGGATCCTAGTAAGAGTGTTATCAGGCAGATGAAAAGTAAGTATTTTCTGGTCTTCATTTTAATTCAGATAACCTTACCAGTATAACTGGTGAGAGCAAAGCAGAATTCTATTCTCAAGTTGTTTTATTGCTGAAGTCTAGGTGGTTTGTTCCATCCAGTTTTACCCTCATTATAGCCAATTCAGAGCAGTTTGTTGGTCAAGGTTTTTATAACTTGACTTTAACATCTTGTTGGTATTCAATTTGCTGTTGAAAACCAACCTCTTTTTTTTTTTTACTCAATGGTTCAACATTTTTTGTGCAGGACTGATCACTTCCAAAGACACTCTAAAGGTCCTAACATGTATCAAAGAGTTGGGACGCAATCTTTGCTATTCAGTTTTCTTTTTAAAAATCAATGGTTTTGTGCAAATTAGGAAGACTGCCAAAGTGTTTACTTTTCTTACCTTGTTTTGAGTTAATTCTGGTCTTAATATTTACAAAAATGTGACTGTCAAAGCTGTATTCATGTGAGCATGTTAGCAACAAGAAATAGATCAACAAGCACAAACAGGCTTGAGAATGATGGGTTGGTGTATATTTGCATAATACTTAAACCTCTTCTTTGTTCTTCTTTACTTGCAGCTCTGAAGCCTCCCTACAAGTTGTTTTTCAGGGTGAAGTTTTATGCTGTAGACCCAAGTGTTCTCCATGAGGAAATAACCAGGTGGGTTACAACTGGTCACTGATACTTGGATAAACGTAATCCTTCCTTTGAAATCAAAATTTGGCAGGGAAAATTTGAAAACAAAAATTGTTTAACTTGACGGTTAAACTTCCTAGACTGGGTGTTAAAACTCTCAAACTCCCATGAATGACCAAGACAGAACTTCTTTTTACAATATAAATACCATATCAAGTAGACTAGTAAAAAGAAGAACCAAAAATAATTTTATCAATAAGGGGAGATAGGAATGAAATGCTAGGTATATTTAAACATTTTGCCCATTGTCTAAGATGTGATTTGCTGACATGATCTAATTCTTCTATATGTTAATTCAGATATCAGTTTTTCCTTCAAGTGAAAAGGGATATTTTGCATGGCAGGTAAGAAATGTACACCAGATTTACTGCTTCCCTGTGTGACTTTGCTATCATAAAAATGCTACATTCAATAGTAGAAATTTCCTTTACAAAGCATGGAGACAGACCTCTGTCAACAGTGGTGTCCATTTTGGAAGGTTGTTATCATTGCTGGGACCTCAAGTAAAAGCAGTATAATAGTTGCCTCTCTACCACTAACTGAAATTGACTTTCCAGAACACTTATTCTCTGAGAGGTTTCCTAATTTTCTGAAAAATTCTGTCAGAATATCTAGTGGATACAATTTAGGAAGCGAATGTTCGTGTCAGAGTGAGTCATCATTGAACTCTCTCAGTGAGTGGACTGTCTTCAGGGCTTGACACGAACTTTTCAACTTACTAGCCAAGTGGCTAGTGAAATATTAGATGGTACGACAATTTCAGTTTGTTTACTTGCCAAGCTGGCTTGTGGAAATTGAAAACCACTAGCTAAAACCGAATTTCTACAAGTCTGTGGCTAGTGGGCTACCGTTAGTGTTGAGCCCTGTGTCATGCTGAGCTAGTTCCAACTTAAATAGTGAACAGAATTATTCTCAGTTGTCAAGATTTTCCTGCTTATTTGAAGTATCTGCTAGCAGAGGGTTGAGTGTATTCTCTTTCCACTTTGTTGGCAAAAGTCACAACATACATACACATGCAGTTATGACATGTCGTATATTTATTTTTAGCTTAACTCAATTTGATAAGAATTTGCTTACTTTCATTTGTAACAGACTCCTTTGCTCATTTAATGATTTGGTTGAACTGGGAGCATACATTGTGCAAGGTAACTTGGAGAAAAAAGTTTTAATGCTCTTTTCACTGCGACTTCGACTTATTTGATTGTATAAACTGAATTTTACTTATTAAGTACAAGTGACCCAAGATTGAGTTGATACATAAAGGAAACACACTGCCAGGCATTGACAAGAAGGTTACCTTTGGTTGTTGATAATATCGATTACAAATGATTGAAGCAAACTAGTGTAAGTAATATGATATGAATGCAAGGAGAGTAAATGGTATCCACAAGCAAAAATGTAATATTCTCTTTATTTTAAAGATATGGTTACATATTTAGATCAAAGCATTTGAAAAGAGCAGCAAAAACAGAGATCACATACATGTGGACTCAGCCCCCCAGAAAAGCTATTTAAACCTCTGACACAAAAATTAAACAAGTTCTCACCACCAAGAAATGTCTTCCCCTTGAAAAAAAAAAATGAATTCAAAGCAAATAATATTTTTTCAATCTAACCCTTTACACCCTAACATCAGATTGCATATTCTCCATACTGTTCTCTATACATTTCGTAAGCTACTGATAAGGAGAATTTGTTTAACAATCAAGGGTTTATTTAGTTATTGATCATTTCCTTTACTCTCATGACGTCAATGTTTGATTTAGGGGTGATGTTGTAAGGAGAAATTAGATGCTAGTCACTCTTAGGGGCTGAAGGATTAGGTAAACCCTTCACAAAAAGTAAAACTGCCACGTTACTTGACCTGGTTGCCCTGACAGTATTCACATCTTCACACATGAAGATATGGATGGTATGTTCACTAGGTGCAGTGAAGATATTATGTTTTCAAAGCAGAGGAAATGGTGGTATACTATTTATCTCAGTCTATAATATAAGTACATCCATAATTCCTTGTAGAGTAGTGTAATATAGTTCAATAAAAGTTGACTTTAACTTCATTGGTTTATTTCTTTCTTAACAGGTGAAATAGGGGACTATGACCCAGATGATCATGGTGACTCTTATGTATCAGAGTTCCGTATTGTTCCAAAACAATCAGACAAGCTTGAGAAGAAGATCATGGAAATTCACAAGCAGCTTGCGTAAGTCTTTTAGATGTTCTTTCCTATTGCATTGCTACAATACGCACAACTTTTATTACAGGAAATAAGTAGATATAGGTAACAGGTGCATCTTGTAGGACAGTAATAGGACAGTAATTTCTTTGCATATCTGGACAAGCATTAGGGGCTTTTGGTGGACCTTGTATTTGACACGCTTCTACTGATACCTTCATTCAAGGGATGCAAACTTTTGTTACGGTTTAAAAAATGCTCCTGTAACATTTGCATCTTTTGCCTTTATTTGAGGGGCACATTTGTTAACGAGACACTTTTGCTAGTCCCAGGGCTAGGCAATCCCACCTGAACTCTTATACCTTTCCAACTATTACAGAGTTGTCTTGAATAATCAGTCATATTTGACCATTAATTGATCAGATCTCAAACTTTTTTTTCTTTTAAAGTGGCCAGGTACCTTCTGTGGCTGAGAAGAACTTTCTTGGCAAAGTCAAGGCCCTTGATATGTATGGAGTGGATCCTCACCCGTGCAAGGTAGGAGACAGACTAACATCCAAACTGTGATATTGATTCGGCGGTCATTTCCCATCAATCATCATGATCACGAATAGAGACACTGCAGGCCATTGTTCAGTGTGCTGGACTCTGGGCTGAGAGGGTCTGGGTTTGAGACCTGGCTGGGTCAATGTGTTGGGTTTTGGGGCTAAAGACTTTACTTTCACAGTGCCTCTCTCCACCCAGGAGTAGGAATGGGTACCAGTGAACTGTTGAGAAGCCTGTGGAAATTCTGGGGAGGGGGGGGTAACCTTGCAATGGACTGGCATCCCATCAAGGGGGGTGGGTGGCAATAATCCTTGTCACTTGTTTTTTCTCTCAAGCATCATTAGATTTGTTTTCTTTGTTGAAACTAGCTGATCTTTAAGAAAGAAGGTTCCTGTAGTACTTGCATGATTGACTTTGATGTACACAGCATTTAAACCTTCATTTGAGGGCCACTAGTTACTCAGTTGAAGCTCTGTCCCGTGTTACCCTTGTTAGATAAAGTTGATTGATTGATTGATGTAACAACTGGGGTTTCTAGGATACTAAATATCAGAATCTATGCTTGTTTTATCCACAGGATCAAGACAATGTTCAACTTTACCTTGGTCTTACTCCTGGAGGAATAGCTATTATCAGAGAAGGAAAGAAAGTGTCAGGATTTGTTTGGTGAGTCAGTGAGTGCTCTGTTCTTGTAACATGGGATATGTTAGACCCTCCACATTGTTGTCAACTAAATTGGAGGATAGGGCATAGCAAAGTGGCCTTTTTGATGGTGAATTTGATATCAGTGGTTACCAGTTTCCAATCCTCCAACTCAATTGCATTTGTGTCTTGGGAGTCTCTGTGTCTGTGGTGCCCTGTCCTGCAGAGTGGGTAGTCTCAAGGTGACGTAGTCTACTGCATCTTGTATGTGTATCAAGCTTCAATGCCTCCCACAAGTATGGGTCTTTAATCAATTTTTATTCATTTGCTCTTTATTTTTAGACATGTTATTTATTGACCCATATTCTATATGTTGTGAAGTTAAGGTTTGCAGGGAAACTTTAGACTACAGTGAACAAATATGTTTCCTTTTTTTCCTTCTGCTGTATTGCCTTCTCACTGCTGGAAAAAAAGAATTTGGCAGGATCTTATCAAAAGAAAGCAAAATTCAAACAGAACCAGTAGAAAAAACTGAAGAGAAAACTCTGTTTGCCTATTTTTATAAATATTATGTTGAAAGTTTACAAGTAAGCAATTAATTGAAGTGTGTAACTCAGTTTTTGTGGCTCACATCTAAACCTATTTACAGGTAATGTAGATCATCAGCCATTGAGGAGTTGATTGCAAGCAAGTTTGTTGATATACATATGAATGATTTTTATTTTTCCCAAATATGTTATATTGAACAAAGAAGAAATTTTCCTTGTGATTTTTTTTCTTTTTTTCAATGTTTGAAGGAGCGAGGTTTTAAAGTGCACTTATGAGAACAAAGTCTTCTATGTGCAGGTTCAAAAGGATGCTGTAAGTAAAAGAAAAGACTAACTTCCCTAAAGTTTATTTTTCAGCTATTAAGACTACACTGACAGATGTTTTATGGGTTTTGTACAAAGTTTTATTGTTGAAGCAGATAAATTTTTGTAGCACGGCTGCAGTCAATAATTTTGTAATACCTCTGCCCCTTAATCCCTAAGAGCGACAAAGGCATCAATTCTCCTTACATTAAAAGTGCTGAATCACACATAGAGTAGAGTAGAGTAGATATCTATATTTATACACGATAGCCCCTTCAGTGTAGTAAACACTGGTATCAACGGGGGTCCTGTTACCCACCCATCCCACCCCAGGGGAGGACATGAGAATAAAGAAAATGATTGTCAGCATAAGAAGCCGTGATTGTTAAGCAAATTCTCCTAGTTAGTACCATAGGAAATGTATAGAAAACAGTATGAAGAATATTGACACTTGGGTGGGGAGTTTCCACAGGCAAGAAACTTGATTTTTTTTGTAACTGGCGTTTTGTTTGTTCTCTTGTAGCGTAAAGCTAACTATGGCTTCAGACTCCCTGATCCTCTGGCATGCAAGCATTTATGGAAATGTGCTGTAGAGCATCTTGCATTTTACAGGTAATTATTATCAAGTTGGTGAAGGTGGAACGGATGTACCAATCACCTAGCTTTCTCATACCCTGTATGTGGAATTTCAGAAAAAATACCGTTTGTACTTGTTGGTTGTCTAAACGATATGGTGGTTGTTTTTAAAGAGGAAATGGTGAAACATGATGGTCATTAAATGTGGGGGTGCAAAACTCTACATTGGAATGCCCAGATTTGAGTCCCAGCTGGGCTTATTGTGTTTTTTTTTTCCTTGTTATGAGACTTTACTGTCAAACCACACCTCCCCCATCTGCGAAAAAAAAGGTAATTAAAAAAATTTAAAAATTATGTTAGAAAAATGATCAAACCTCTCCAACTGCAGGTAGAAGTATAAATTGGTACAAATGAACAATTCAATAGATTTTATGAAAGTCTGTGGGGTGTGGTGGATAACTTTTAAAAGACCAATATTATTCCTAGAGCATTCTTATCTTTGACCCCTTGCACCCTCTCAGTTGGGCAAGATAAACAGATGCTCTGGTTAGGATTTTGGAGATGGACTAGTATCCCAGCTTGGGATGGGGTGGTGGTAACAAAGTCTCCTTTAGAGCCATGGGATTAATAGCTTGCTAATGGCAATTACAAGTTTGTATTCATAAACTTTTTTTTTTTTTTGAAAAACCCTTGCTCTTAACTTGGTTTTTGATTCCTTGAACATCCATTGTCTTTTGTTGTCTTAACAGTCATTCAGAGAGTTCAGTAGCAAAGCCAAAACGAAAGGCACTTTCACCTCAGAGGCTCTTTAGAAGATCAAAGCATAAGTACATGTAAGTATGTCGCCTTGCTCTGTAATGATTCGTGTAAGGGGATATGTGTATGCAACAGGGACACGGGTTGGGGAGCGACAATAAAATGGACGGGCATTTAGGATTTGGCAAGGGTAACTTCATGAGAACATGTCGAATCCGTTCGTCAATGCATATACTAGAGGCATTTACACAGGAGGGCCGCATAGTGGGGAGGGACAAGTGAATAGCTGAACAGGGAGGTATAGCGGGGGTATGGAATAAGGAAATGCAAAAAGGACAGGTGAAAGGAACATATCATGGGCATGTTATGGGAGAACACATTAGGGACAGGCGAAAGAATTTTATCAGGGGCGAAAACAGAATAGGAAATAATAAGGAACCCTTGACAGGAACAGTTATCAGGAACACATAACAGGAACACATAACAGGGGTACGCATCACAGCCTCATTACATGGACTTAAGATTGTTTTCTTGTCATGAGAGATACGTAAACTTAAAAGGAGAGGTTAGCAACAAAAATTAATAGTCTTAAATTTTTGTGTGAAAGTAATTACTTATCATTTTGTTAATCAAGGAAATTCATTTTTTTTTTCAAAAGCATTTTCCTTTCAAAGGTTCATGTAATCACAACTTCTCTAAGTTTTCTAAAGCGCGATTTTGTTTACGCTGTGATCGCTTCTGCTTAGTTGTACAATCTGTGATCGCGCGAATGTTTAATTATTATTGCTACCGTTAGAAAGCCAAGCTGTTTCGATATTGGTAAAAACCTCTTTTAATTGCACTAGCAGAATAACTTTTTTCCATAAGCAGCTGTCGATGGTCTAATTTGCGGCTATGCCGTCAGGCGAAAGTCTAACAAGAGAACCTGTTCGCAGTCTAATCAGACGGCAATAAGAGGTCTTATGCGCATCGGTAGACCGCGGCGCCGGTAAACGGTTTTTATTAAAACCCTGCCTAGAAAGAGGATAATCTGCTTAGAAATCGATTTATCTGATTGGACGCTTGTTTTCCACATCATGACATACGTGTAAATACGGTTGCAGTAGGTTCTCTCATTTGAATTAACTGCTGATGGGGGGTCAAAAGCAAGTTTGTCGCTAAAGGCAGCGGAGCAGTTCTCGCTCTTAGCGTTGAGTTTGCGTGGTGAATTAAGAGTGGATTTTTCTTTAGTTGAATCATTGAACTTTTAGCGGGCCCACTCAAGACCAGCTTATCGCAGAAAGTGAGAAGATCAGTCGTCCAGAGCCGCTGATCAAGAGGTGAGTTCATTTTAGTTTTGTACAATTATTTATTTATACGTACAGTTGTATACCTTGACTCACAGCACCTCACTGCACTGTTTGCTTTGTTTACCGCACTCTGTTGAGCAGTGACCAATGCTCCATTCGCAGTTCATTCGCTTTTTAAAATCGAATGTCTCCCTTCAACCTGAATCCCCGCTTCCTTGGCAGCTGTTTCTGTTCCGTCGTTATTTTCAACGTTTCCGTTTGTTTTTAAGTAGTGACAGCAATTCTGTTTTGTACCAATGGGATACACTTCCAGCCCTTGGATTTATAGATTCATCCTCTTATTCTCTGGCGAAGGCAGGTTGCGTTTCTTCCCGTTTCGTCGACAGCTGTTTTTGCAAATTATGTTTATGTTTTTTTAATATTCTCCCTTTCGTTTTCATTTTATATTCGACGTTTTGTCTTCTGTTGCGTTTTTTTCTGAAGATGTTTATCTGACCTTGAAAACAATTCATGGAACTTTGCTTTCAGAGACAAGATGCGCAAAATTGAAAGTTCTTACTCGTCAACACAACAGATTTCTTGAAAGGCAGCCGTAAATTAATTCATTATTTTTTCAAGACGTAAAGTCTTTTTATTCTCCCAGACTCAGGAAAAACAAGGGGCATTCATTTCTCAGTCTTGTTTTCAACGAAAGTTTTTACGCGTTAACATAACAGATTGCCTTAAAGGTAGCCGTAAATTTATTTATTATTTTTTCCGCGGCTAAAAATCTTCCTATTCTCCTAGACTATTAATTTTCTTAGCCTTTTTATCCAACCTTAAAATGAACTGAGATATTTAAACCGGAGTTTGACATGGATCATTTTTAAGTGTACTTTATGAAAAAAGAATTTGCACCTTGCGATGGTTAAACAAGATTTATACACTCGGGTTTCGATTTGCGGACAGCTTGATTGCGTGTGGTTAGAAGCTTATTGGTACTTTCTTTCGGAAAACTTTATTTTTTAATCAGTTTGATTAAAGAGCGCTTGCGGTTTGTTGTTTAATACACGAGAGGAGTTTTAATCTCAAAACGACAAGTGAACAGTGAAAAAATATTCGCAACTCATTAAGAAATGGCTGTGGTTCTTTCTTGGACCAGTCAGAACTCGAAACCTTTTCGGTGTGTTCGTCATGCGTTCGTCTTCGGTGATCAGCCATGGGAATACGCGCCCTCTGATAGATCAATAACCACGTTATATATCATAGTATAATCCGTACTTTACGGCATGACGACATTTCAAATGGCTGCTGTGCAATTTATTTATTAATTTGTGGTAGAAAAGAATAAAACGCAGCTCTAATAACCTCTAGTTGAGTTTTTAAGCCTTTGTCCGATGGCGATTAGAACTTCTACAACCTCTAGAACAATTTCAGTCGTGAAGTATTACTACTTTAAATTTCTGTGGCGATTTTACGGATTACTTATGAAGTATTACTACTTTAAATTTCTGTGGCGATTTTACGGATTACTTATGGTAGAGCGTCACCCAAGATTTCTTAACTCGCCGGACAATAATTAGTGCGTTGATCACTTGGTAGTGAATGAAAGCTAGTCAAAGTGGTCTCCATAGAAACATTTAGTCGTCGTCATAGTAATGTTTGGCACGAAATTTAGCGATGTAGAGTCTCAGATTAAAAGGGTTTTTTTACTAAGTTCAGTTCTTCAGTGCCTGGCTTTCACTGGGTCTTCTAGAACTACTAACCATTGCGGAGATTGTCCAACACTTTTTTGGGGGTTTAAAGTTACTGCAGTCGACCTTAATTATCTTGACTCGTGTGGATTGAGCTGAATAGTTTAGATAATCGAAAATGGCCAAAATTAAAACTGAATACGTATTCATGTAAATCATTGTGTATTATTATTATCACTTGCCAAGCTTACCATCAACGCTTTATATCGTAAAATGAAATTTAACATAGTTAATGACTAGGAGCTAATCTGGTCGGTAGCATTTTGCTGGCCTACCGTTTGCGTATTTGACTGCCTACTAGTGTTTGCACTGCGTTTGCGTGTGTTCTGTAGCGTTTGCAGCAACCATGTGGTTGGCGGTGGCCGTGGCCGGGGCCGGTCCTTGTCCAGCGGTTCTCCTAAACGACCTAAAACGATGACGTATATCAGTGTGTTCGCATCGCCAGTTTTGTCATTCTTTGAACTCTACTGATAGAATAGCGTCAACATTGCTTCATTACTTGTGCTGTGTGTGATAGGAAAAAGCTGTCCTTAAACAAATGGGACCAGACAGGCGAATAATCGAGGTCTGAATAATCGCGCTTCGACTATACTTACACAACGTTTTTGGTTTGTTAGGGCACCAAGTGTTAGGATCTCCCGGCGGATTAAAGTTCCCTCAGATAGCATCTCGGAAAGTACCGGAGTATTGAACCTCCCTAATACTCCCAACGGCCAAGCTAGTGGAGACATCACAGCGAATGAAGAGAGTGAATTGAAGAAGTTCGAAACTTCAGTTTTCCCCCCCAGTCCTCCCCCTGACGAGACTGTTACGTCTTTTGAAATGACTGACGCTCCGCCAACAACCAATCACGTGGGCCCTGACGTCAGCCCTTCTAATGAGGTAGGTCAAAATTCCCGACCAGACCAAAAATTATATTTTTAAGGTAGTCAGTTTAATTGGACAAGAAAAAAATCGCCGCACAATGATCTTCGCGTCGTTTTGAAGAAATTGCTTTGTAGTGACCGAAATCTTGTCAAGGTAGTCTCAAAAGAAATATGCAGTCGTCGTCAGAATTGTGTTTGGCACGGAATTTAGCGAGACAAGCAAGAATAAATCGCCAGTCGAACGAGGTAAAGAAAGGAATCTCGCCGGCGGGGCTGATATAGGTTCGATTTCCGCCGCTCTCTCGGGTCCGGTCTTTCTCGTTCCTCCCCGAGAAGAACGACTGGCGAAATTCTGATTGGCTATAAGCAACAAAAGAAACCTCACGCGTCCAGCCGTGGGTTCGGGGAGGAGTGCGGGCTCCGGTTCCCGAACACCGACTGGTAATCGAGCCTAGGGCTGATACTGTTGGGAAAATGTAGATACTTATCACTTAAAGGGCGAGAAGGGTTGAATACTCACTTCTCGTGAACCTTTCTTCAAAGAAAACCAATCGTAACTTTCTTTTACATTTTTTGTGCAGGTCACCACAAAGCGTGCTGCTCCAAGTCACGCCGAAGTGGAGAACTATGGCTTCAAGATGTTTATTTTCATCATGTTCATTCTAGCGTTGATAATGATACCTATTGCCATCGTTTGGGAAACTAGAAAGAGCTACATCAAGTCTACAGATGCATACAAGGGACTTGCCAAATGGGTGTTCAGATCTTTTGGGTACAAAATCTAACGGGTGACTCGATACTGAGAATTTCTAATCATTAGCTGAGGAACAATTCTATCAATTCATCGTCAGGCATGATCGTTGAAAATTTCGTTGTAATAGTTAGTCAACCATTCATCCGTTTTGTGTTTGATTAGTTAGAAGGTTTTTTTTTTTTTCTTTTCTTTTTTCGTGCTTCGGTGAAGTCGGTCAGTTGGAATTCCGTGTTTAAATGAAGATGTTTTGAGAAATAGCTGTTTTAGTTGGGAAGAGATACAAAGTCAGTCTATAATTATATGCAATAACAACCTAATCGAATTGAAAAGAGTTTCCAATTCTACGAAACTCTTATCTCTTAGAGAATTACTGATATTTCTTTGAATGATCTGGACAACAAAAATTCATTTTTAAAGTAGTTTTCATGAACATCCTTACTCTGTGAAAGAAACTGGGATCTCAAGGTTAAAAGAAAGTTTTCGTAAAAAAAAGGAGTCGAGAACTCTGTATTCCTTCAAGAAGCAAGCAGTGGGCGGACAAATCGAAAAAACGAGACTGCTAAGCGTTTGTGTGACTCGTGCAACGGAGACAACATGTTCCGTGTGAATGCTTTATTGGCTCGTCAGCTGTTATCATATTGTTGTCGTGTTTTCCAGCAACCCTCTTAGCTCAGGGACCGGTTATTATTTATCGATGGGAGGGGGGCTCGGTGGATTTTAGTTATGTCGATAAAATGTACCTAATTACCCCCTCCCCCTTATGGCTCTTCACTATGCTGATGTCCCTCCACCCTCGTTGACGGTCAGTTTTCTATAGTCCCTCTTTTGCACTCTGTTAGCGACAACTGAGCCCTCTTCCGTCTCCCTGAAAACCATGTGATCCTACCCCCAATAAACTCCAACCCAACCCCCACCCCAGCGAGAAATGAATTAGTGGTAATGATTGGTCCCTGAGACAACAGTTGCAGGCTCGTGTAGTTTTTAGAAGTCATACGTGAGTTGGGAACATAATTCGAACGTGGTCGAGTTGTTTTAACTTAATCATCATTAGTTGTAACAATTATTATTTGTTATGTGGTAGATTTGTTAGAGGGGAATGCACCTCTTAGGGGTATTTAAGAGAGAGAATTTTAGAATGTTTTCTAGTAAAATAAGTAGAGCGAGACGCTAATGTAAAATAACTAGACGTTAGGTATGTTATTGTGATGTAGGTATAAATTTCTTTTTAAGTCTTGAGTTTCTCTGTCTCGGCCACACAATCATATATTTGGAAAAGCAAGTATGAATTGTAAATTTTCGGCCAAAGTGACAAAAAGGGTGATTTTTGTTTTTTTTTTGCCGATCAAGAAATGGAACGACCACAGGAATACCACGCGATTCCAAGTAACCTGTATTAATGTCCGTAAGCTCAGTCCATTCCCGGAGACGATGCCCAATTGGTTTCTTGTTCTTCCCACTTGACGAGTTTTTCTCTAGAACAGACAGGAATCCTCTTTGCATTGGTACAGTGGCACCTCACTGTTTTGTGACATTGACATAGCTGATACACGGTTGAAAACTGAAATCTTTGGAAAGTCATGTAAACTCTATGATTTTGTTAGGTAGGCAAACGTACACAGGCCCAGCTACAATGTATTTTCTCAGCCTTGTCTGTCGTTTGCTTGATAAAAATGTTGAGGTGGACGTTAAAGAATCATTACTCTGGGAATACTTTAGTGAAAACATTCCATAATGGGTCACTTTTGGAAAATTTGGGTTGTTCAAGCTCTATATATCACTGTAGGATTTTAAAATATACTTCGCCAAATTTTCACTGTAAAGCATGTGGTTGACATTAAAACTTCATTTCTAAGTCAAAATGTTTGTTATTTTGATATGGCTGGAGCGGCTGCATGCGGAAGCTGGAGCGGCTGCATGCGGAAGCTGGACCAGCGAGCCAAACACACATCGTGTTAAAGTAAATGCAGTTAGGAAATGCAATTTCTCAGACGTCATCTTAACCCTTCTACTCCCAAGATCTCTTTAGTAATTCTCCTTACCGTCTGCCATACAATTTTACATTTTTAAACATTTTTTTACATTTATATAGCGCAGACTTCTATGTGGATATATTCAGTTGCGCTTAACAGTATCATAAGGTTGAGATCGGACGTCAGCATTTTTTTACTTTTTTTCATTTTTATGATCAGGCGCCTCTGGCAGCCGCTTCAGTTGATGTAGCGATCTCACCTTCCCACCCCATCCCACCCCGGGGAGGACATCCACTACACAGTAATCTCGTGCATGGGACCTACGGCTTTACGTCTTATCCGAGAAGACGAAGCAATGTGAGTTAAGCGTCTTGCTTTAGGACACAACTTCATGCCCCAGCCAGGACTTGAACCCGGGCCAACTGACCCAGAGTCCAGCGCACTGACCACTGGACTACTCACGCCGAGTCTTATAATTTTACTTTGGAGGATCTGGTATCGGATCAACTAACGATCCCCTCATCACTTGTCTGCTTCATAATGTATTGATGCTGTTAGACGAAATTCTCTTGAGAGTTGAAGGTTAATGAGAAGAATGTAAGACATCCTGTGATCTCTTGAGTTCTTATGGTTTCCTTGTAGTATTCGCCTGCGATCTGATTGGCTGTCGAGATACTCCATCGGAAATTGCCTCAACCATAAGCAGAGTTCTGTTCGTCTAGATACCAGCGGAAACCAAGCAGAGTTCAGTTCGTCTAGATACCAGCGGAAACCTGCATGCACAATAATCTCCTCTTTACCGGAATGCTAACGACTTGGAGGGGTGTTCGTGGAGCCACAACCTTGGTAATGGGGTTAACCGATAGGCGTAATATGGCCAAAAATTTAGTCGATAGCCGTAAAAATTGAAAAATTTTAACCGTTAGCCGTAAATGGGGTCAAAAGAGGTAACCGTAAAAAAAAATTGTTCTCTAAATTTCTTAATTTTAAGGAAGGTGCTAAACTTACTTATGACCTGTTTCATTTCTTATTTTGCTGACTTTGACTCCGTACATGTCGTACATGTGGTTCATACGTTTATAGGCCAAGCTCGTTTCAAGGACCCCCGGTAGTCTCCCTTGACCTCACTTGGCCTGCGTTTTGTAGGACAAGTTGACAGCTTTTTGTTTTAAGATCTCCAATTTCTTCACCCAGTGTGCATGTGAGTTGAACGATGTCGGTATTGAAAGCTGTTGTTAGTTTTTATCGAACGGGTGAGGAAAGGCCAAGCGAAAGATACAAGGCAAGACTCAAAGTCCAAGAAGAGCATCGGACACTTTCAGCGTTCAAGAAAAACGTTATTGACTTTCTTGGTCTTAACGAGCAAGCCAGGAAGTTCGGTCTTGGGCAATTTGACCTTAAACTTTACCGCCTCGCCAAAATCAGCGGCAAGATAGAAAATTATTCTTTATCGACCCAGCAGCAGCTAGATCTGGAACTACCCCTGTTGCTTGACTCAGATAGTGAAAGCGAGCTGAACAGTAAGTACTCTTAAAGTTATGAATTTTGTACGTGACTACTAGGATGCCGCGTGGCAAGAAATTTTTGCGGGTCTTTTATCTTGCGGATTGCAGAAACTAAATTAGCTCCCCACATGTTTGGGGAGCTAATTGTTTCGATAGCGAAAGACTGGTTTTCTTACTGAGGATTAATATTTGTTATTTTCAGGAGATCGCGAGCTTGAAATACCTGAGTAAAGCAACTAGCAGAGATGTCACTGTTTGCAAAACGCTTACTGTTGATCACTAAGGCATGGGTCGCACTTGGCAAAGTTTGGTGTGAATGTGGTCACTTTGGTGTAAAAATCTGTCATCGGGGCACATTGCCTAATGCGACCCTAACTTTTCCAGTTCGCAAAAACTTTGAAAACCGGCCAAAACATCAAAGACGCCGTAGTGCTTGGGTGGGGCAGGTAGATTTCGGAAAACTCGGGCTAAACAATAGCTATCACAGCGGTAACTGTCATCGCTTGTCAGTAAACAGCAAACGACTCGACTGGTCGCGGAACTGACCAGGCATATGGCGCTCGAAGTAATCTTCGCTGACGTCGATTTCTCGCTCTCATCATAGCGGCAGTCAAAACAGTTAAACAGGCGTTAACCCATCTTTCATAGATCATACGAAAGACAAAAAAGTGCTCGTGATTTAACTGAATAAGAAGAATAAGCATCACCGTGATCGTTATTAACAATGCTTCAACGGGACGCATTTTTTTAACGTTTGTTTTCCTTTTTCAGCTCACTGCTCTCTCCCCATAGCACGTCGATAAACGTGTGTCTGGTTTATCAAAGTGTCATCACTGACATTTTTTTCACCTAGTGCGACCCTGATAGTTGAAACCAAAAGTTTGCTTTCCGGTTGCGGTTTCAAATTTTCTGTG